ATCACTGTGTTGTGTTTGTTACATTTTACTGTTTAGAAGATTGACGAGCCTTTAAAACTCCTTTATAAATAATTTACAAGGAATGAATAGTCCTCATTTTAGATGAGCTCACACACACTACTAAATGCTTTAAAACTAACTGTATTTACTACATTTACTAAAATCATTCATAAAATCATTCATGTCATGACATGATGACAACTGACAACTCTTAAATAACTGGTTTGTAAATAATGCTATACTTCATTTAGAAATTATTAATTGATCATTTACAAAGTATGAAAATACAATTATTAAACACATTATGGATATGCTTATAAATCAAGAAAACATATTTATAGCTGCATTTATAAACTACTTATTAATGTCTATTAATGCTTTATAAATGATGAATTAACTGTTTGCTCATGCTTAACAAATGATTAATAGCATGCAGTTATTATAAAGTGTTACCAAAAATCTATTAATTTAGCTATAATTTAGAAGTTAAGAACCTTTACTAACTATTGAGGGGGGGGGGGGGGATGTTTTTAGGCCCTATTTTGTATGCCATTCATGAAAAGTGTCGACAAAACCCAGGCAAATTCAATTAGAACATTTTCCCCTGTTTGATCTCACCCCTCGAGGGGTCTTTTCTGAATATTAACTGCATTGTTTTTCCCTGTTGTCCATTAGCCTTTGGGCTCAGCACCACTGACTGAGATCCACTGAACTACAATGATTTCTTCCAGAGCCTGAGAGAAATGTCACATCATTCACACAATTCTGTTACCAGGACTACAGACAAAGTTTTTATTTGGGTTCAGTGCAATTAAAAACTGTTCTATTTAAACTGTTCATGGATTTATCAGTATGGTTAACTAACTAGTGAGAATAGGAGAACAGCGCTGGTGAACGCACAAACTGATGATTGGTCACTTGTGAGTAGCTAATATAAATAAATAAATCCGCCCTAAAAACTTAAATATAAAATCATCAACAGTGTGCGGAAAAAAGCATTCATTTTGCAGATTGTTGCCATTATTGAAGTAGAAATCAAACAGCCTTTTTTCACCCAAAAATTAAAGCTGTCATCATTCATGATTACAGACATGTTAAGCGCATGAACTATGATCTCGTCTTAGCAATTAGATTCCTGCACACTAACGAATGTTTTCATCATAACTAACAGTGAAAACACAATGCAAATAAGAGATTTGTTGATTATATTCAGACTATTGATAAAAGAGACTTTGCTATAACAGGAGTTTTGGCGAGAGTACAGAACTCAGTCACTTTGATTGAAACTCGCAATTTGATTAAAAGGTCCAGTGATTGTAAAAAAAAAGAGTGTTCTTTGATAGCTTTCTATATCTAATTTAATCGCAGTTTAAATAACGGATTATTTTCATCCTACCAAGAGAAATATGTGAAGTTAACCGTTTAGTCACTGGTTTGATTTACTGACATAGACATTCCTGACATATCTGACTGTACATAAATCATTACACATCAAAAATCACTGGAGTGGACACAGATCAGGCATTAGAATGAATACAGTTACTTACATGTTATGGCATTACTGTCGAGTCCATATCATAAAAGTCTGTTTGCAAAGCCTGCCACCGAAATTGCGACTGATTTACCAAATGATCCACTGAAAAATGTATCGAATCCAAATAAATAATGCTCAACTAAGACATTCACATTGTTGAAAATAAATAACCACATTCCTAGCATTAGGATCCTTTTTTCCAATTATAGGCACATTTCATAAACAAGTCGTTTGCTGGGCTTGATTACAATATAAGCTGTTTTTTGGAATAACAAGGATGTTTTCAGTTCTGAAACTTACAGGATATTATTATAGTATGATGACCTTTTATGCCAAAAGCTCAAGGAAAAATTGATTTCTTAGTTCATGACGCCTTTAAAAATAATATACCACCAATACTAAACACTACTATAAACCTAACTGACTGTGTCAACAAAAGCAAATGAGAGATAAAGGTGCAAACTGTGCGTGTTGAGTGTAATAGTATTTGTTGGTGTTTTACTGCCATTAGTGTTCATTTCAAATGGAATCTGCAGTGAATTGTATGTATAGGCATGTTTTGGAGTTTTGCAAAAATGTAGGTAGAGGCACGTTTTTCCAATGAGTCTATGTTGGAAGATTCAAAAACATGCTTGGCGATTACACCGACCAGTCAAAACCCCAGCCCCAAACTTCTCTCCTTTCAGTTACATGAGCATCCTTATTTCCACAGAAGTGATTGAAATCATTTGGCCTATGCCTCTGTCAGTCAGTACTATCCCTAATCACATTCATAATATAACCAACAATGCAGTTATAAAGCTGACTTGACCTTGTTTTCTATCTCTGCATATATACTCACATTATGTGGCCTCCGCAGGGTTTGAGTATCCTTGTCCTGTTGCTCCGCTGACTCCTTGTAAGCTCTGACCCCTGCAGGCAGTGGCACTGCATATCCTCTACTGGAGAAGACTATAGGAAAAATAAAAATAAAATGCTGATGT